GTCCACCATCGGTGGATAGCAGTTAAACTCGTTTTAAAATAAATCAAATTTTGAATAAATAATATTACAGCTTCATTAATTAATGTATACAAAGTTTTCTTCTAGCCACAATGACAAACAAAATAATGAAACTCATCATGCCAAAATATTATTGAACTTATCATGCCAGCTTTGTAACTTCATATTTTATGTGCATCATTTTCCATATATAGCTGCAAGCGATGTTTTTAGAGAATAAGATAAATGAGCCACAAAAGTTTAAAGAAAGCACGTGAGATATCCATAAAAATCAATTTTTTTTACATAAATCTCAAGGTACCTCAAGTGAGTTAGAAATTGTATCGCACTACGCCAAGAATTTGAGGTTTGCATCTAGAAAATGTAACAAGTAACTTCTGAACAAGCTAAGTCTTAGTTTTACAAGTAAATGTAAAACATTTGTTACAACTTTGCAAGTAAGCCTGCCACCTTACAACACAGGGCTAAAAACAGAAGGATGTCCATGTATAATCTTCAAATGGAGAAATACAGATTCAAGAATGGCACAACTGATTACGAAATGAGAATTATGCACCTAAATGAAAAGGGAATTGGATCGTCTATGTAACTTGAAGCCGTCATATCTTACATGAAGCTATTCTGAAGTATCCACTACTTCTTCTCATTAGTCTTCTTCTTGAATGACCCACTTCGTGCTGCTTTTGTTTTCGTCCACTCCTTCATTAAAGCAGCACTCTTCATGAAAGAACAAGTTTCGTTGTAGTTAGTATCTCCTACAAGTGCTTGTTTTGATGCAGATACATGTTCCTTTTCGGGGGTTGGAGCACTGGCTTCATTCTTCTTTGTTTCTTTCTGCTGATAGTTGTTCAACACTGGAAGCTCTTTACTGAAATGAACATTATTCTGCTTCTCAACAGAAACATCTTGCGAAACACTTTTATCCATGCTGTAGATTTTTGTGCTTTTCCGGTCTCTCCTATCACTGGCAACTCTGGTTTTGGAAGACATAGACCAGGCAAAATTTGCGAAATGCTGAAAGAACTTCTGGTGGCATCACGAACCAATTCTGTCCATGAAGATTTTTGTCGCCATGCAGCACCTCTGACATAAATATCTACAGGGCTATTGTCAGTGGCAATTTTATCCAGCTCCTCGTGCTGATCTGATACTTTCTCTTCATATTCAACTTTATCCAGCTCTTCGTGCTGATCTGATGCTTTCTCGTCATTTGATAATTCATCTTCAGATTCAACTTTATCCAGCTCTTCATGCTGATCAAATACTTTCTCATCGTTTGATACTTCATCTTCAGATTCAACTTTATCCAGCTCTTCATGCTGATCTGATACTTCCTCATCGTTTGATACTTCATCTTCAGATTCAACTTTATCCAGCTCTTCATGCTGATCTGATACTTCCTCATCGTTTGATACTTCATCTTCAGATTCAACTTTATCCGGCTCTTCAAGGTGATCTGATACTTTCTCATCGTTTGTTACTTCATCTTTTTCGTCGGAGGAGAACTCACTAACACCATCAGAACCAGACTGCATCTCTTTAACGGGAATAGCACTCGGCAAAATATCCAATACACTGAATGAAGCACCACTATTAGCACTAACAAGATCTTTCCATGGAGACTTCTTTGGCAATTTGGCACTTCTATTTAATAGTTGGCTATCTCGTGTGACTTCCAAACTCTGCTTTGCTTCAGCTTTAGACAACAACGTATGTGCCTCACCATCTTTAACCTCTGAAGGTGCTTTACGCTTTCTGTTTGAGGGCATCGTCTTTCCTTGCTTTTGTTTATCCGTAGCAAGTCGTGATTCCTTGGATAGCGAATTCTGTTCACACGACACCCATAAAAAGGAAAAAGTAAACTAAGATGCTTATACCATGAGCAGGGAAAATAAAAAATAGAACATAACAGAATATGAACCTGAATAGCTGCAACTGCTTCCAGGGTTGGATCTTTGAACATAGTGTTTCTATCCTGCCACTACATTGATAATAAGGTTGTCATCATCGTTATCCATTTCTTGGTCAACAAAATCTTCATTAGCCTGAATAGCTGTCATTGCTTCCTGGATTGGATCTTTTACCATAATCATTCTATCGTTTGCACCAGCCACCATATTGAGAATGAGGTTATCATCATCTACCATTTCTTGGTTGACTAGATTCTTGTCATTCTGCAAATGATCAACTGTACCATTTGAGCTTTGAACTTTCTTAGATAATTTAAAATCCCTAGGGGTTTCCTCAGAATAGTTCTCCCTCTCAAAAATTCTGTTCAACACTGAATTCATAATGTTCAGCTCTTTCTCATCCATTCCACCATCCTTTGAGTCATAATTACAAAGTGATTTTTGCTTGTCCGTATGAGTAGTATCAGAGTGCTCTTCACAATCACAAAAATGGATAGATAAGGAAGGAACTTCCACTCGCTGAAAACTGCATTTATGCTTGCCAGTTCCTCTAAGAGACACTGGTTTAATCTGCACAAAGAGATTCCAGAAGCATGATTCTTGACGTAATAAAAAACATAGGCCTTACTAAAAGAGATTGAATTCAAATGTAAACCATGCAGTCACCTTTCCCGCCATACGTCATCTAAGAATAATTGTATCAAGAGAAGCACGTCATAACCAAGCACACGGAAAAAATGCTTTACCTTTCCTAATTTTGGGAAGTAAATCCGAATTTGCGCTTCATCCAATTTGGAGCCTTTCTTCTGACTTTTCAGGGAGTCCGTCCTTTCAGCTTCAGTAACAGGAAGATGGGTCGAAGTAGTGGCAAGTGTAGCATCTTCTTCCCACTCACGTTTCATACGAAGAAAAAAGTGTTCCTTTGCCTTCTCTATTCTAAGCCTCCCACCTTTCCACATGCATCAATTATACTGCAGATCAAAATTGGATTAGCACCACTAAGCATCAAGGTGATACCTTAGGAGTAGATTTTAAAAGGAAAGACTCCATTCACTTGCTGCAAATTGATTAAGTTATCCTAATAACAAATGTTTTGGACGGCAAAAGGTGACAAGGGTCTGCCTCGTCATAAGGCGAGGCGAGGTGCTCGCCTCGCCGCTCTCCTTTTGAAAGTGCGGCATCAATTAATACCAAAAGTTAAAATATGTAATTGCATATGTAAATAATCAAAATCTCAAAAGCAATAACATATTAGCAAATATTTCAATTCAAAAACTGAAAATAGATAGTACTTACTAAAAGTCTATAACTTGAATGAGAGAAAAAAAACATAACAAAAGTCAAAACAAAGGTAGAAGTGATTTTAAAGTCTGAAGAAGGAAAAAGAAAAAGAGGAAGAAGAAATATATATTGGTTAGACTTTGGAGTCGCCGGAAAAGCCTGGCTAATTGCCAGAGGAGTCTAGTCGAAAATCCCACAATTACCTTTTAACTTTTAAAATCCTAAATTGATCGCTTCTTTTTTTAAGAAAATACAAAAGGTGACGCCTTTCTTGCCTCTTGCCTCTCGCCTTTTGTCATCATGGCATCGCCTTTTGAAGATCGCCACAAAGCTAAAAGGTGATGAAGGGTCGTCTTGCCTCTCGCCATTGACAACAAGGTGATCGCCTTACACAACACTGCTAATAACGAAGAGACACTTTGATATTATGTGATACTAATGGTTACAAGGCCAAACGATGGCCACCACAGATAAACAACATACAGTAATGTCTTGCAGCACCCAAGGGAAGGGTGCAAATGTAATGAACACCTAATGAGATACTGCACTCACTGACAAGAGTTGGGCTGTTTGCTTCACAAAAACTCTAAAATACACTAGCATTCCTACACTCCAAACCTCTCTAATATGCTTAAGGAATTCTGTCACCTCAACTTCCATACATGACTAAATAAGTTAGGAGTCTTTATCCAGGTTCTTAACCTCCTTCTCCAACTAAGGTGCCGGCTACCATTCTTTATGTTATTCATCTTTTATCCTAGACTAGAAATGCTACGCTATTTGCACCAATTCTTATATCTATGCAATGAAAACAGACAATTTAGCATAGTACGCACGCACAACTAAAGTGAGATACGGAAAGCTTTATAGTTTATACCGTGCTGGAAAGTTTGGGTAGGGATTTGTCGGAAGAAGGAAGTAAATCCAAGTAAGCAAAGCTGCGGCCTTTGGTTCGAACGATGTCCATAGATTCCACTTTTCCGAGTTGTGGTGTTGAGAATGTCTTCTTCAAATCCTCAGCCGTCACACTTTCGCCTAAACCACCAACATAAATCTTACACTTTTCTTCGTTAATTCATTGCCTCCTTCGCCCGTCACCATCTCTGCCTGTGCCGCCATGTGCAACGCAATCAAGCTCCTTGGTCTGAAACCTAATGCGCTTTGTTGAGGAAAACGAAGGTGTAAATTACACTTCTGACACTACTACAGTATATTAAAGAATGAACCTTTTTTTTTTAACAATGGAGCTGTATTTTGTTTACTCTAGGGTTAGGGGCATTTTAGGGTTTTCAATTATTTTTAGTATTATTATTCTTTTACAATAATGATTTATCAGGCTGTACTTTTTTTAAAAGTCAAAAAAAACTTGAGCTAAATCTGAATATTTTTGGCATTTACATATTTTTATCTGTTGTTGCCTTTTGTAATTTGTGAATAAAAAGTTGAACGATCTCTTTAATGCCCTCACGTCTTCAAGAAGAGTCTTTTCTCCATAAACTATACTGCTCTTTCTTGCCCAGTTTACAGGTAAGTTCCCCCTCTGTTTTTTCCGTTTTTTTTTAATTAGTTGGTTTTTTCCCTTATGGATTTGAATATGGCCAAAAGAGAAGTAATGATGATGGTGATAGGCTGCTTGTAAGCATTTCATTTGTTTGATTTTACGAGATGTACAACTTTAATGTTGTGCTGACCTTTTTCTGCTTGATTTTTGTTTGCAGTTGTAATTGCTACTATTAAGTTTTTCTTTTTGTTTTGGTGAGATGGATTATTGTATTTCTTGAAAGTTAAACACTTGAGATTAAACCATTATCTTTTGGCTTTTCTTGATTGTGAAGATATGAGTTCCTTATGCTAAGCAAACCTTTTGAATTACAATTTCAGGTAACCACTTTTAACCAAAGACCTTGTACACATTCTCGAGGGCAGTATTCATGTCAAAGAATTCTTGGTATAATATAGATACAAAATAGTTCTACAATGTTGAATTGATACTCAATAAAGTTAGAGTGTTTTTTATTATTTACTATGCTGGCAGGAGTTAATAATACTTGATGAAATAGTCGAGGGGTGTGCAAGTTGGTCCAAACAGCACCATCAATACCTCATATAAAAAGAAGTTACATTTATAGAAGCACAACCCAGAAGGTGAACTTCTCATATTTTCATGTAGGACAAATCTCAATTGATTATTTCCATTTCTTTGTGTAGATGTGGATAAATCATACACTGTTGTATTACTACCCAATAGTTAGTGAATTTACCATTTCATGTATTTTAGTATAGTATGTGGATCATGTCAGTAAAGATTCTCAAGCAATCCACTGCCAAGTTCATATAAATAGTCAAGACATGCATAGGTATCAATGTTTTGGTTAATAGTTATGGTTCTGCACAGTTGCAGATGCAAAATAAACATTGAAGGAAGGGATTTAGTGTCTTAAACTTCTATCATGAGTAGTTGAGCAAATATATTTTTTCAGTGCCATAATCTCTCTCCAATTTCTGCAGGAGCATGAATGTGTTATAAATTTTTTTTAGTTTTGTTTTGGTGGAGGGGGAACGGAGCTCGTGGGGGAGTGAATTAACTAGAGAAGTAGCAAATATAGTATTTGACATTTTTCTTGGGTATAAGATAGTTGCTGTTCGTTGAGCTGTCTGGTTGGCTTGTTGAGCATGTAGAGAAAATTGGGACCCCATATAGCTATTACCTGCTTCTACCAGGAAAACTCTCCAAGGCATGGAGTTGCAAGGTGGAAAAAGCGTATTAGTTCCCACGGAAGTGTTCTGAGATTTATGGCATAGTTGTATAATTGTTTCTAAATACTTGGTGCCACCCCCAGCTTTACTATGCTTTGAATTGGGTGTCCCGCTCAGTATTTTAACCATGATAACTGTGTGTCTTGTTTCTGTTTGTCCACATCCCTTTGGTTTTCATGTAGTTGTTCTACTTCTTCTTGTCTGGATTAACTCAATGTTCTTATAATCCAGATGCTAAGGTCTAGGATGTGATGAGGTGGAACAAAGATGAAAGTCGTTGCTTACTATTTCTGGTCAGGCGCTTTTCTAGATCTGTGGGCCATTCTGCACAAGCATATCGTTGTGAACCTGTGATTCGAGTGTCAAACAATATTACACATTTAGGCCGTCAAAAGGATGGTGTAAAACCTAGCCAGCTATTGTCTTTACCTCCATTTCCTGGCTGTCCTTTGCCAGGAAAGAAAGTGGCCACCGGTCCTGACCAACCATCTTGTCATGTTACTGCCATTAGCTGGATCAAATACTACTTTGATGAGATACCAGGCTCGGTCATCCAATCCCATTTTAATAAGGGCCTCGTAAGTATTCTTATATGTATTCCTTCCCCTATATGAGTTATTGTGATGTTTCTTCAATTAAATCTCCACCTAGTCAATGCATGGTAGTTCCGTTTTCTGTGTTTATTAAATTACATTCCTCTCCTAGGGATTCCTGCAACAACTAGTAAGGGTTCAAATCCCAACAGAGATAAACTACTAAGTGATTTAATCACTAGATGGAAAGAAATCACCTAGAAATCACAGGTCTTGTTGGGACAGAGTTACCGGTACTTGTGCTGGTGGGAGGTAGCAGCCTAGCAGGTATCTTATAAAATAGTCGAGGTGCATGCAAACTGGCCTGGACACCACTGTTATTACTGTTACCAAAAAATGTTGCTACGTGTTTAATGTTAGCATAGTGCTTGTGACGAAGTGTTATGTAGAGAGACTTAAACAACATGCAAGTCACAAGGGTCAGTTTTTGGATAACTAATGACAATTTCATTTGAACACTGATCAATGACATATTATTCATCATCCTATAGTATGTCAACTTGCAATTTTCTTGTTCTTAGTCTTTATATGTGCTGATGGCTAGTTCGGAAATAGTATCTGACTTAATCTGGTCTGATTTTACTATATCGTTTTATCACCACAACATCAAGAAGAGATATATTATTTCATAAGGTAGAGTAAATCTGTTACATGTGCATCTGTTTGGTCCTCTTCTCCTACGGCTAAAATATGATCTTTATCTTACCCTTTTGAAGGGTCTAATGGCTATACTGTCTTGAGTTTGCTGTAATGAATATGAATATAGCAGCAGTAATCTTATTTCTCTTTATTTACAGGTGCAGTTAGAGTTAAATGAGTTATTTACAAGCAAGGAAGGACAAACTAGATTGTTGAGGAAGGTATTGATACTTGTATGAGTCTAGCAGTATAAACTTCATTTTGATGTTAAAAGTATACAAACATCAAGAGACAAGGGGCTTTTTCAATTTGTTTTTGGACCCTGTGCTACAAGCCTCCAACTCCCAATGGATTCCCCTATCTTATAATTTCAGAATGAATTTACAGATTAAGCATTCCGAGGTCATGGAAGTTGGTGCAAGAATTCATGTGCCCATATCTGTTGCTGAAACAAGAATATCAAAACGATATGATGTTATACCTAGTGGCACTTTGTATCCTAATGCTGATGAAATAGCATACTTGCAAAGGCTTGTATTTTACAAGGTATATGTTCATTTATTTGATTCTTCTCTGTAAATTTTACATTTGATTTCTACTATTTCTGGTGATAAAAGATTACACAGCTACTGTGGTTGCTTTTTCTGCTTCTTAAGTTCATTTGGTGGAGCTATGCACCAAAGGTTATTCGTGTTTCCTGTAGTTTATTGATTGTTCAAATTGTAGGATCCCGCCATACTTGTTCTAAACAAGCCCCCTAAGCTGCCTGTAAAGGTTTGTTTCTAGGTGTTCTTTATTGCATGATCTTGACTAGCACATTCTTCAGCCCTTTTTTCATTTCTGATTATTAGACTGATTACAGGGAAACCTTCACGTGCATAATAGCATGGATGCCTTGGCAGCCGCAGCATTGTCTTATGAATATGATGAGGGTCCTAGGCTGGTAAGTAAGCATAGCGAATATGCTATTAAATAAACGTTGAAGATCTCTTCTAATTTTTCTGAAGATATCCTGGTGCATTTAGTCAAAAATAGGAGTTATATTTGCTGGTGAAGAAGCAATTGTGGTGGTTGGACATTTAAGCTGTTGACGTTAATTTGGAATTATGTTCAGCTTTGGTGATTACTGCATATATTGTCAAGGTACATCGTCTTGATAGAGAGAGCAGTGGCCTTCATTTAATGGGAAGAACGGAAGAAAGTATCTCCCATCTTCATTTATTGTTCAGCAACACAAAAAGGTCCAAGTCCCTATCTAAGGTACTTAATCTACAACCTATGCACCATCTTCATTTTTCGTTTGGCTTTTCTTTCATTCCCTCTTCAAGGGAGAGAGGGTTGGTATGTTGTTGTGGGTGAGAATACCTGTTTTGACTTCACTAGTTAAGTTTTTTTTGATGCATAAAGCTCTGACTGTCATCAGGCATGGAATGATGCATGTGGGTCAACATATCAGAGGTATTGGGCGTTGGTAATAGGTTCCCCCAAGGTGAAGGAAGGCGTGATCTCTGCACCACTTACAAAGGTTTTCCACTTCTGTTTCTTACATTTGCAGGCTTTGGTCAAGTAGAATGACTGTTCATTGTGCTTGTTCGTTGATTTCAGGTGCTTCTTGATGATGGTAGAACTGAGAGAGTCATGTTGGCTCAACAGTCGGGATTAGAAGCTTCTGATGAGGCTGTTACCGAATATCGACTGCTTGGTCCAATGATCAATGGATGCTCATGGATTGAGTTGCGCCCTCATACAAGTAGAAAACATCAGGTTCCTTGGACCTTTTCCTTTTATGATCCCTGTAAAAAAACAGTTGAGCTTTTAAATTGTGGAGAGATGCATATCGGCATTTAAGTTGCGATCCCTATGAAACCAGTGGTTCTTCTAAGTTGTGGTTATGTAAGTTGTGGAAAGATGCATAAAGTTTTTTTCTGAATGTAGTCCCTAAGTTAGGACCATTAGTAGGTCCAAGTAGAAAAACTTGTTTGATGAAACCCAAAATGAGAGCAAGAGGAACTGATGAAGATGCTTCCATAAATCAGTATTAATGAATTATGATGAGTATATGTCTAGCATGTTGTTTTTTCCACTATTATAAGCATCTCAACTAGTGAGGATAGCCAATACAAACGACAGCATTAAGTGTGAGGAAGATGCTGCTTTACTACTGGAGATTTCGTGTGCGCCTATCCTGTGTTGGATGCCCAACTCAACTGTAACTGAGAAGACCATATTTTTCTTTCTGCTTGTTAAAAGTTGGCAAGGGAAGAGAATAGGGAAAAATTATACTGTTTTCTGTTACTTTGCAGCTTCGAGTTCATTGTGCTGAAGCCCTTGGAACTCCAATTGTGGGCGACTACAAGTATGGTTGGTTTGTCCATCGCAAATGGAAGCAGATGCCGAGAGTAGATGTTGAGCCGATAACAGGTAAACCCTACAGATTAAAGAGGCCGGAAGGTTTGGATGTTCAGAAAGGAAGTGTCTTGTCTAAGGTCCCTTTGTTACATCTGCATTGTAGGGAGCTTGTGCTCCCAAATATTGCCAAATTTATTGAGCTTCACAGTCGAAAAACAAGAAAAAACACAGATTATAGCTCAAAACCAGATCTCCTCCGGTTTGTAGCACCGATGCCATCTCCCATGAAAATTAGTTGGAAGCTTATGTCCTCTTGCTTGATATGAACATAACAAGTAATAGCAATAAAAAGCTACTACTTGTTATGTTGTTGTTGTTCTACTTGATTATTTCCTCAAGCTAATATTGGAGGTTTAATGTGTACATATTCTATATTTTTTGGAAGAAGCTATTTCATATATATTTCTAGTGATGGATCTATCTTATGATACAATTCAATTCATCTTCTTAGATATTTTGATTAAAATTATATTCAAACAAAAGAATATCACTTTATAGATTGAATTAAATTAATATATTGTATACATCTGGAAATCTCAAATAGGAAAGATAAATGAATAAAGAATAGAAAAGACATAAAAGCACCATTAAAGTTATTTCGAATTTTTAAAAAGACACCTTAACTTTGCGGACATCCTATTACCCCCTTAAACAATTTCAAAGTATTGTAAATATCCCATTTTGTGTAATACATTCTCTCTTTTGTTAGTTGTAGAAAGTTATTGCTTTAAAATAGAAAAATATATAAATGACCCGATATCAAAAAAATAAATGAAATCTCACACTTTTTGTTGATAGGACATCTATCATAATAAAAAAAAAGTTCTTACGAATAAAGCGAGAATTCAAAGTCAACCAACTAAACTAATTAAATTCTCCCATTAAGATTTATTCATTTCAATATTTGAAATGTTTATAATAATTACTTTTGATTCAAATTAGTTCAAGTAAGCCTTAAAACTTCATTCATGTAACAATTGAGATGATGTATATAATTAAAAGTGATGTACATTTCAACTGATTAATTTATCCACTCCATACATTTTAGAATTTTAGATTATGCCCAAACTGTTCTTTTACAAAATTTAGCTCAAAAGTTATCATGGCATTTTAGACTAAGGTCTAAGGTGAACTGAAAATGGCCAAATCATAAAATGGGAAAAAGAATCAAAAGGTTCATATCAACTTTATCATCACCATTTTCAGAAGTTCACAACACAATCAAACAGTTGGTTGTGAAGGGAAAATATGATCAAGCCCTTGAGCTCTACACTGCAAAAGTTCACTGCTCTCATACAAGTAGCACCTTCCTTCTTCCTTCAATCATCAAAGCTTGTGTTCATGATCAATTATTTGGTTTTCAGCTTCATAGCTATGTCCTCAAAAATGGGTATTCATCAGAATCTGCAATATCTAATTCTCTTATATCAATGTATGCGAAATTCTTCGAAACAAAAACTGCGTACCAACTGTTTGATACAATGCCGGATAGAGATATCATCTCCTGGAATTCAATGATAAATTGCTATTATATGAATGGATATTTGTTAGAATCATTGGAGTTGTTTAAGGAGATGTATAATGTACATGGTTTTGTGCCAAAACCTGAGTTAATTGCTAGTGTTGTACCTGCTTGTGTTCAGACCAAGAATTTTAAACTAGGAAGAGCTATCCATGCTCTTACAATAGTTGATGAAAGAATGGAAACTTCGATTCTCTTGACAACTGCTTTGGTAGATTTTTATTGGAAATGCTGTGAGCCAGATTTGGCTTTTCTTGTTTTTCAGAGAATGGAAGTGAAAAATGAAGTCTCCTGGACTGCCATGATATCTGGATGTGTAGCTGAAAAGTTGCATATAGAAGCGGTTGAATTATTTCGTTCAATGCAGTTTGAAAATGTTAAACCAAATAGAGTTACATTGACTAGTCTATTACCAGCTTGTGCTGAGTTGAAGTATGGAAAAGAGATTCAGGGATATGCATTTCGTCATGGGTTTGACTCGGATGCTAAATTTTCATCTGCTGTTGTACACATGTATTCTGGATGTGGGGGAGCACTGCAGACTATAAAGAATGTATTCGATCGGTCAACTAAAAAAGATGTGGTAATGTGGACTGCTCTCATAACGAGCTATACTCGAAATAAATCTAGTTGTCGAGAAGCTATAAAGCTTTTCAATGAGATGTTGCTGAGTGGAATTCAACCAAATGATGTTACTTTATTAGCACTAATTTGTGCTTGTACTAATCTACTATCGGTATGCCATGGGCGAGGAATGCATGGATATGCTTTTACAAGTGGTCTTAGTTCACATTTGTTCATTGGTAACTCCCTCATAAACATGTATTCAAAATGTGGTTTTTTGAAGGACTCCGCTCAAGCTTTCCAGGAGATGTCTATAAGAGATTCTGCGTCATGGAGTGCCTTAATCAATGCTTATGGGACTCATGGTTTTGGAGATAAAGCGTTGGAACTTTTTAATGAAATGAAAGAGAGTGGGATAAAGACTGATTCAATTGCATTACTTGCTATTCTATCAGCATGTAATCACTGCGGTCTTTCTGAGGAAGGAAAGGAGATCTTTGATGAAGCATCAAAGGATAGAAGTTGCTCAATTACTGTGGAGCTCTATGCTTGCTACATTGATCTCCTGGGAAGGGCAGGTAAGCTAGAAGATGCCAGTGAGGTCATTAGCAGAATGCCTATTAAACCTACCAACAGAATTTGGAGCTCCCTGATTTCTTCTTGTAAATTACATGGAAGACTTGAAGTTGCAGAGCGTTTGGCTCATAAACTCGCCAAATCTGAACCTGAAAATGCTGCTAATTATGCTTTGTTAAGCTTGGTATATGCTGAATCTGGAAACTGGCCTGGGGTGGAAGATGTAAGGCGAGACATGAAAGAAAGAAAACTGAGGAAAAGCTACGGGTTCAGCAGAATCGAGCTAGATGACAAAATTTTGTAATCCTTCTGTGCAGATAACTCTAAGAAAGACAATTATTCTTCCTTTGTGCCATGGCATTCAGTGGAAGGGAAGAATATTGAGAAATGGCTAAAACTAGTGATAGGTAAATAGAACTAGATGCTCCTTCATAAGCAGGTTGAAGCTTATAATCTATGCGTTTAATTTTCATCGCGGAGCATGTTTATTTAAAATGATAATATAAACTTATGATTATGTACTTTAATAGTTTATAGAACTTATGAGTATAATTTAAGATTTAGTTGGAATATCAGGCTACACGCATTATGTAATCTGTAGTTCTTTTTTCTTCTTGGCTTCAAACAACAATCTTGCTTTGTAGTTTAATGCCCTTAAGTCCAGCTAGTAGAAAGAAAGGAAGAAGAGAACTTTCTTTAGTTCTTTAATCTGTTATATCTATCAGGGCAACTGGGAACATGGGATTTTTTCCTTTTTCCAAGTCATTTGGAGCACTCATGTCATGTCTTGTAAAAATCCTTTACAACATTAGTGTATTTTAAGAGGTAATAGCAAGTTAATTATTTTTACAAATGTACTGGGATTGTTGTGCTACAACTCAAACTTAAATCAAGTCATTTCTCTCTAAAAGATGTGTTCTTGTATATTATCCTATCCTTTTATGGATATGGACCAACTGCAAATCAAGAAACGTTACTACTAGGGTGTCAAAACTAAGTCCAACTATAGGTAACCCATTCATAATTTTAAAGATTTTGGCTCATAATTTGAAGTTGATTGAATCTCAACTCTTTCAAACTTTAACCCATTTTAAGAGAATTTTCAATTGAATTCAATTTAACCTTCAACCCATTTTAAGACTCTTTGTATGCATTGATGTAATGTATATTGCTATATTGAAGATATACGTTACTATCTCTTTATATTTTTTAGGATTTATCTATCTATATGTAACTTCTGTTTAAAAATTTTCTTAAAGTTTGAACTTCAAAATGTGGTTATAGAAATTAAATAACGATATAATGATTGAGATTAAGCGAATCAAGATCCAATCCCGTTTTTAAGCCCATTTGAGCTCAAATCTATTTTTTTGAGTCCAAAATAAACTTGAGTAGGTCAAGATTCAACCCAATTTCTATTTCAACACAATTGACTCATTTGACACCTCTAGTTACTTTTTTCGAAATGCACAATCATTTTTTCGAAATGCACAATCATCAAGGTTTCACGTGTATAAAGATTTACAAATTTTCAAAATATCCTTTCGGTCTCAATTTACATGATTGATATTTTGAGATTCAAATTATAATTTGTTCTTTTCGTTTGTAATAGAAGATTATATGAGATATAAAAGACAATGACATATTTTGAGGTACACTATTCATTTAAAATTAATTAAAAGTTATAACATTTATTTTGATGCCAGTTACTACTTTAATATTATTGTTCTTGGGTATGTGATTTTATGAATTCGACTCCTCTCCATTTTTTCAAGTTTCTAATTGGATTTGTAGCACATCACATTATAATTCTACTATCTTAACAACATATTATATTAAAAGTATTCTTTCAAAAAAAAATTTTAATGCATGATCTTTCTTTTATTTCCCTTTTAAATTAGGTGAAATAAAATAGGAAAATATGTGCTATTTTTTTGCTCACTAGTTAATTTAGTCTTTTAAAATACTGAAACGAAACTTTTGTATAATTTATATCAAAGTGATATTGTAGTTACAATATTCTTTTTCTTTCTTTATGTTAAAGAATGATAAAAGTCCCACATCGGTGATTAATGAGATGGGTAGACTCCTTATAAGGCTTGGGCAATCCTCCGGTAGCTTTCTTCTTTTGCACTCCATTCTCACCTTCCTTTGTGTGTATCAACTGTCATAGCTTTTTTCCACTTCCAACAATGGCATCAGCCATGGTTCTCGATCCAAAACCCTCACCGAAGCTACCGGCAACTCGACCTGACTTATCGTCACACGACGTTCCTTTCGAAAATGGCGAATACGATCTCTATGCTCGCCTGAAATCTCTACAGCGACAGCTAGAGTTCATCGAGATCCAAGAGGAATACGTGAAAGACGAACTGAAGAACCTTCGCCGTGAACATTATGGGCACAGGATGAGGTAAAACGGATCCAATCGGTGCCGTTAGTAATTGGCCATTCATGGAGATGATTGACCAGAATAACGCCATAGTTGGTTCAACTACAGGATCTAATTACTACGTCAGGGTACTCAGCACGATTAATCGGGAGCTACTTAAGCCTTCGGCTTCTGTGGCTTTGCATCTTCACTCGAATGAGCTAGCTTTTGAGGTGTGAGTTAGGCCAAGACCTAATTTCTACATGGTACAAGAGCAGAGCCCGTCTCACCCAATGTTGGGACTCCCAAAATTAAAATTGTCCACGCACCAGATGCTAAGCACTGGGCGTAAGGGGGATGTTAAAGAATGACAAAAATCTCACATCGGTGATTAATGAGATGGGTGGACTCCTTAGAAACTTGGACAATCCTCCTCCCTTTGAACTAGCTTTTGGGGTGTGAGTTAGGTCTAAAACCTAATTTCACACTTAAGAAACATCAATTTCAATAAAGATTTATCACAAAAAATTATTTATGTGCTGTTTAAAAAAAAGATAAAGTTCGCTCGTTATTTTAAATAGTTTTGATATTTTTCATAATTTATAGATAATATGTATATGTTACATAATTATGTATATAATTAGTATATTTTATGATTATTCAAAAATCATCTCAAAAAGAATTTAGTTTTAATAAAGTATTTAGACAATTAGTGTGGTTTAAATAATAATTTATATTTTTAAGTTAATTAGTTTATAATTGATATAATTATTTTATTTCATCAGAATTATGAAACTCATTAATTAATTATATCTTTATTCATCCTATAATTACTAATTAAGCTCAATTTGGCTATAATTGTAATCAAATGGAACAATATCTCAATCTCAATTCAATCATTTTCTTCAATTCCTCTAAAGGCTAATTTTAAGCCTTTTACAACTTTTTCCAGTAGCCTATTTTCCAATTTTCAATTCAATTTTGGGTAACTTTCACATATTGCAGACATAAAATTCATATTTGTATGTTATAGCAAAGTTTGCATAATTGCACTCCATGGCAAACGTATATATGTATAATTTGCTATACATATACAATTGAAGCAAATTGTATAAAACGAAGTGTATAAAATGAGAAAGAGAAGGATACTTGGGCAGAAAATTGTATAAACGAAGTGTATAAAATGAATTGTATAATAATAAGTGTATAGAACAATTATATACAATATGAATTTGTATAAAATGAGAAAGTGAGAAAGACAAAAGAGACTTGGGAAAGGAATATACAATTGAATCGAATTGTATAAAACGCAAAAAAGAGAGAAATTATATACAATTTGTATAAAATGAGAAAGTGAGAAAGACAAAAGAGACTTGGAAAAGGAATATACAATTGAAACGAATTGTATAAAACGAGAAAGAGTTATATACAATTTGTATAAAATGAGAAAGTGAGAAAGGCAAAAGAGACTTGGGAAAGGAATATACAATTGAATCGAATTGTATAAAACGAGAAAGAGAGAAATTATATACAGTTTGATTTTGTATAAAACGAGAAAGAGAGAAAGGCAAAAGAGACTTGGAAAAGGAATATACAATTGAATCGAATTGTATAAAACGAGAAAGAGAAAAATTATATACAATTTGAATTTGTATAAAACGAGAAAGAGAGAAAGGCAAAAGAAACTGGGCACGGAAGTATTTTTATTGTATAATTATAAAGTGTATAGGATGAAAATATATGTATTTGCATGTGTATATATAATTTTCTCTCGCTTTATACAAATCGAAACACAATTTATACATTTCGTTTATGTTTGTATAAGCGAAAGAGGCGAGGGTGGCGAGCGAGATCTGGGAGAGGGGAGAGAGGGAAACAAAAATATATGTATTTATACAATTTCCTCTCGCTTTATACAAATAGAAACAGATTTAATACACTTGTTTTTGTATAAAAGTGAGAGAAAGCGAGCGAGAGATGGAGCGAGAAAGGAGAGTGGCGAACTAGAGTTTGAGGGAGAGAGGTGACTGACAAACAATTTGCACAATTAAATTAAAGGGTGGTTATAGCAATTAATTTGATTTATTAGTTTACCATTATATACAATTTTTCCTTCAATTTTCCAGCAGCCTAACCCAAGCCCATCTCCACAAAAACCATCCCACTAAATGTAATACAACATTCAGAAACAATTTGACGTAAATTGATTTTCAACGTCTCTTTCTGCAGCCCCTACTGTTCTAGTACGGTGCTTTTGGCCATGGCAGACTGGGTTTTTTCTGTTACAGCTGCTTCTCATCCTTGCTCGCCTTGAGATCGAGACACTTTTAGCAGCAAGGACGTTGGGATTGATCCTAGCCATCCATTCCCCTTTCCCTTTCCGGAATAGGGTTAAGGCTTCAGAAAAAAAGGTTCCTTCAAAAATGGAATTTTTCAGAGTTTTGACTTTCGAATTGGGCTTGGTCTCATCCGAATTTTGATGGTTTTCCTGTTAAATTTGACAAGATTCAAAAATGGATTAATGAGAAGATATGGTAGTTAGGAGGATAATTCTTCATTAGTAGAAAAGTCAAGATAGCAACTTTTGTAGGTGAAATTTAGGTGAACCATTGATTTCACAAGGTAAATGTTGACATTTTAACATATTGTGATGTCATGGATGACATCAATAGGAAGAATTCACTATTATAAATAGGTAGCTCCTAATTCATTTGTAACATACCTCTCACTTGTCTTATCATCTCCTAAGGCATTTGTTTTTCTTTCTCTCTTGTAGTATTTCACTTGTACTCTTTTGGAGTGAAATAAATATTGGTTGTTTGTGTCCGAGGAGTAGGCAAAAGAAAACAAAAGTTGCCGAACCTCGTTAATTCCTGGTGTTCTTTTTTTTGTTGTCTCATTTACTATTTATTAACTACCTTTAGATATAGTAGTTGTGATTCCATCACTCTCTATATATTTAGCTTTCGCAACATTTCCCCCTCTTTTCCAAAATCCGAGCCCCCTTTCTATATAATCGTTATTGTCTCATTGTTTTGGAGGAGAAATATATATATATATATATATATATATATATATATATGTATATATACACACACAGAACCAGTAAGATGGAAAGAAAAAGGACATTAAAATCAAAGCTCCTGAAGTCGCATAGAGATTGAAAACAAGTTTTTCTTTCAATTTTGCTCTTGCCGACTTCTATTTTATTCATCCAGGCTCATTGGGTTTGTTTGTGGTCATAGAAGCTCTATCTTTTCTGTTCGTACTTGTCTCAAGTCGCTGCATCTCGAAAGGTAATACTCATTTTTGTTTTAAACATACTTTTATTCTTAATGCATCGTTTGCTCGGTTCTCAGATGTATAGATTGCTTATTTGCTAGTGTTTTTTTTTTTTTGAAATTCCCTTTTAAATCTCATTTGTCTAAAAACCAGTGATGGAGTTTATTTGAAAACCCTTGGTTGTTATTTGTTTTAGTTTTCAATGAAGTTTTGACGTCTTCCCCTCCCAAATTCTTATTTTCACTGTTAAAATTTTCTTATTTCACTGATGTTCCTACTGGTATGGTATGAAAGTTGTGGTTTAGTCATAGAGCTCGAAATTACCTTCTGTCTGTGATTTCGACTTCCATATCTGTTGCTTACTGCATCTTTCGTGTCTCTTGCCTAGTAGAATCGACAATCTGATTCATATGCACAAACAAGTTATTTCAAATTAATGAAATGTCTGTTTAAATTGATTGTGTTTTGTCATCCCTTTTATTGTTTCTCTATGTTCCTGACTACCCTTTGGTTTAGTTATCGAAATATTCTGCTCGTCTTAAGGTTCTTTTGGCTGTTGAGAATTCGTATTATCATGTAGTATCAGATTTCACTTTTTTTTACCGCAAGTCGGAGGGGATGAAGTCTTAAGGTTTGAGTTTGTTAGATTTCAATGTATGCCCAGGGGTATAAAAATTTTGTGCTAAGTTCATTGTAGTATTTTGTCGCCTATGTATGTCTCCCCTCTTTACTTAAAATTCGTGAAAATATGTCAAAAATCTCCCTTTATTTCACATTTGAAATTGCCACAAGGCAATAGTATTGTTTTGTTAATTAGGTTTACTGTTTTGCTCATGTGCCAAAATTCTCAAATTAGTTATTAAATATGTGGGTATATAACTGTCTTTGCATAAGTCACATATTTTATTTTTTTGTTTAAAAAAAAAAAGAAAGAAAGCCTAATCACTACTTCAATAGTTTGCTTCTTTCATTCATTGGTAATTGCTTCCTTGTTATTATAATTAGGCTTAGGTCTACTCTATTTGATCACTGTTAGTGCTGGCAATTTAAGTTCACTTTTCACTGACCCGCCCAAATAGCCAATTAAATATGGGTTAAAAGAGTGATTTTAAATAGGAAAAATAATTTAAATACACAACTTTAAGTTTCTTATTGTCTACTTTTCCCTACTTTTTTACAAAATTACTTTAATCCCTTATTTAACTTGTAATTGAAATCTGGTATATACATAATACACTCTTTCCTCCTACATTCATCATTCCTTATACTCCTTGTTTTTTTTCCTAATTTCACTCAATTCTCTTTTCAGTTACAAAGCATTATGCCAAATTGATTTTCAAATATTTTCTCTCTCAATCAAACAAATTTCAAACATCAATCTTCACTTTTGTATCTTACGTTTTCTCTCACAAAGTTTGTCAAATATACTTCAGTCGATTTTTGTTTCAGTTGTTTCTTATTGATACATATCATACTTCGTCTTCTCTGTCTCTCTCTCTCAGAGTTTGTCATCTTTTTACTTTAATTTTTACTTTGTCTCATCATGTTCACATGAATCCAGATACTAATTGAATAATATACGATTTTGATGACGAAAATTGTGCAAAAAAAATAATCCAGATGCATGACCAGGACAAAATTTGTATGCAAATAGAGGAGGTGTTGACTTCAGTTGCAGATCCATTAAAAAAATTTGCACATCATGATTGAAAAACGATTATATCTGTTGTTGAGGTTGAAGATCAGATCTATGGCTGTAGAGATATATTATAGATAATAGTGTTTATAGTTCATTATATATCTTATACATATTTTCTTGAATATAATTAAATGTATCATTAACGTATTTGTTAATAATTGTTTGTTCTAAAACTACAAATACAGACCGATGATACTATTAAGAATAAGAAATGACGGATGTTTCAGAAGTCTAACCGACAGATGAAAATATTCATGATACTATCAAAAATCAACAAGAAATAGAGAATTTTTCAGAACTCTAATCCGCATATGAAAATATTCGTGTGTTATTACAGAAGCAAGTGAACATAAGAATATATTAGAATGATTAGAAAATTTAGTATATAATACATTATCAGATGTGGTTGATAAGTCAAAATAAAGTTTGTATATGAAACATTATTAATTTAATGTATCCTGACTTATACTACATGCTGCTATTTTAGGATGACGAACCAGATCAAGGCCCCCAAGATCTTAATAAAGCAGCAACGAATGAAGATACATAAACAATATTATATCATGTATAATGTATCTTTTGATAAAGTAAAGTATTACTCAAACAAATTAAGAAACATAAATAGTAATATATCACACACTAATTTTTTAGGCATGATACAAAAATCAATTTTTTACTAAATATATCTCATATATTTTTTTTGTATATGATAGATAGCTACGTCGGATTATATGGGCATGATTCATAAATACTAATTTATAATGTATCAATCTCAAGGCAAACAACTTATGAGCAACAATTGCATGCTTCATGTATCCCATAACAATACAACACTTATCAATTTACACAAATAGTAATGTATCATGCACTAATCTTTTAGATATGATACGTAAATTCGAATTTAAACTAAATGTATTAATTATTTAACAACTACCACATGATAATGTCTCAATCTCAAATCTAACATCTTATGAGCAACAATAACTTCTTTAATGTATCTAGTATAAATACAATATTTATCAATTTAAACGACAATAATAAATAGTAATAATGTATCATGCACTAATTTTTTAGATATGATACGTAAATTCGAATATATACTAAATGCATCAATTACATAGCAATTATCGTGATACATAGCAATTATCACACGGTAATGTATCGATTTCAAATCTAACATCTTATGACAACAATTACTTATTTAATGCATCTAGTGTAATATACAATACTTATCAATTTAAATAACATACATAAATAGTAAAATGCTAAGTTGCACAGATGTATCTTCTAAATTTTTTTGATAATTTTATATCAAAATTGAAAAGACCTTAATGAATTAGAAGAAGAATTTTGCATCTCAAAATTTTCAATGATTTAGAATCAAAATTTAAAGGATCTTCAATTAAGTGGAGAAACATATCCCACATACAAAATACAATATTAACAGACACTCGAAAACAATACTTGGTAGAGTAATATTTCGGTGCACTGTCTCAACAATATCAATGAACCCATGTGCCAAGATCAATCATGATGTGTTAAATTCTTTAATGCATCTGCAACTGAAACCAGCACCTCGTCATATGCATACAAGTTTCGTCCTAGTCATGGACACCACCATCAATCTTTTCAATTGTGTCAATGCATAATGAATACATTGCAAATCGTGATTCATTTTTTTCACTTTTAAATATAATTTAACAACCATGTCGCTCTTAATTTTCCAAAAATGATTATGTCACTTTTGTAACTTTCATATTACACTTTGTTGACCCAAATTCCTGAATGCCTCAGTAAAATTGATACAATCATCTTCTATCAACAAAAAATCAGTATTTCTCACTTTTTCTCAATGGATGGATGTTCACAAACTGTTATTCAACGTAGAAGATGTAATTTTGAATTTTGAAAGGTCTGAGTAGATTATCTGTTAAGATAGGGATTGTTTTGTTTCAGTTACGCTTAAATTAAGCTAATTAAATTAACAAAATTAATTATTACAGTTTTTTTCCTTTTTATGCTCAACAATAATTTATTTACCTTATATCAATTATATTGTATTAGATTGCTAGTTATGTATCAAAGTCACCTTTTTAAGGGATTTTTCGTAGAATGTAAATTAATTGGGATAGGATGTAATTTATATCTTACACTATGAGATTCCTTTAATTTTTACTTTTAAATATGGGTTATATTTGGGCTTATATCCATATTTTATCCATTAAAATATGGCCATATTATGGTAAACTACGAGTCATATATGGGTATTCCAAGTTTTTTTCAGATTTTCAAAAAACCTTCTGTTGCCTAGTTTTAGAAGTGATTTTTTAAAACTTTCATATATACGTCCCTATTAATATTTCAACTATCGACCTCCCACCCCCACCCCCACCCCGCCCAAAAAAAATTAATATTTATGTTTAAAAAATATTTTGACTTCAAAATTTCATTTTTCACTACTACACTCGAACCCCCCCCCCCCAACCCGCCCACCCCTACTAGCCCCCTCACCCCACCCCCATCCCCCCAAAAAATTAAGTTTGTTTTTAGAAAAATATTTTCAACTTCAATTCATCTCTACCATCGTCCCCCCATCAGCCCACACCCTCATCCCCCTACCATCGTCCAACCCCACCAAAAAAAAAATTCAGTTTATTTTTAAAAAAACCACCCCCTACCAAGCCCCTACCCCCAACCAATCCCCAGCTTCAAATTTATTAAGTATGTTTTTAAAAAATATTTTTAAATTTAAATATTTATTTTTTTCACCCTACCCTAGAACACCCCCTATTGCCCCCCCCCCCCCCCCCCACACACACACACAAACCCCGATTTTTTTTTTTTAAGTTTTTTTTTAATTTTATAATAAAATAAAACTAAATGAAGCATTTTCAACAGATTTCATCTAAGAAAAGACTAAAATATTTTCTCCATATTGAATTCTTAAGTAAAGAACTATTTCTTCATGAAATATCGGTAAAATATAGGTAAACTAGTATTTTACCCAACCCATTTTTATCCATATCAAATATGGGTTGGTTGAATGATTACCTATTTAATGTTTACCCACTTTCAACCGGCTCATATTTGACCCAATCCGCCCATTTGCCACCACTAATCACTGTTAACTTAATAGTTTAGCCATCATCGCCTTTTGGTGTTTTTACTAAATTACATGGAGACTATAAGCTACTCTTAAAGTCACACATATCCCATTGTGTGAGTTCGAAACCTTTCTCTTTGTCTAAGGCTTTTTTATTCTTGAGTTTGTTTCCTAAAGTGGAAGTGCTTCTAATGCTAGTATGTGACATCTAAGTTTCCATTTTCTTTGTGTATTTTATGATGAATAGAAATGACAACTTGAAGCAACTTAATAATTTATTTGGAAGTAGAACATTGAAGTTATATGTGTCTTTAATTTGTTAAAACATTTGTAGAGATCGTTGTTTACATATCGTATACATATGCTTATCTTATTCAAGGCTTGTGTTAATATGGTATTTGTATGTTTCTTCTATGGAACAAGTCCAATAATCATGCCAACTTTACTTCTTCATTTGTGTTTTCTATCATCTTATTTTTATGTCTTATCTTCCTTAGCTAATATAATTGTTTTATGTGCATGTGAAATTCCCCTCGAATCCATTTGGACTCCATTTCCTCTCCTTGTGTCCTCTTGTCGGAGCCATGAAGGCTCAATCCTTCATTCTCGAAGTAGGCTAGCCCCTCTAAAACTGACGTACAGGTTTTGAAAGCAGCAAATATCGTTGGAAGTTAAATTTGTAGGCCTCCAAAAGCTAAGAAAGGTGTTTGAGGAGATTAACTAGGATTCATACTTCCAGTATACAATCCAATATACAAGAGAAAAGAATAGAATACAGCCTATATACAGTGGTATACGAAAATCGTATACACATTTTTTGGGGGAAAAATAGGGCCAGAAGTCCAAAGGGAATTCCAGCAGGCCCAACAGGTCCAAAATGGGGCAAGATCCATTTTTGGGTGACTTTAGATTTAGGACGGGTTATAAAGATTTGGGCCGAAGACCCAAATTTAATACTCTCTTCCTTTTTACTTCTATTTGTATTACTTTGACTAACTTTGCTTACTCAGCCTTTTATTTTTAATATTGGTTTTGTCAACACTTACAAATTACTTCCCTTTAAGAAATTCCCCAAGATGATATTAATAATAAGTAAGTAAATAAATAAAAATGAATTTTCTATACTTGGTTAAAATTTGGAAATATTTGTTCAAGATTATTTTTAGTCAAATCGCCGGTCGGTCAACTGCAAGTAAGGGGACACTCCGAGGGCCTAACGCCTTCTCGGAATGTATATTTGAACTTCAAATTATTTTTTTTCAATTGATTTTATCTGTTTAAATCTTTTGAAAATAATTATAAGTTTTTTCTTGATTTTTACTAAAAATTAATTGACAACTCTGTCAATTCGAAAAATTAATTTCTCTTAAATCATAAAATTAATTGATTTTTCAAAACATAACCATTATTTTTATCCTTATTTTATTTTTGAGTAAAACACTTGCAACAGAAATAATGAAATTCCTCTTCCTTTGTGATTAAGAAAATACTTTTTTACTTTCATTTCCCATTCAAACAAATATATGCACAAAATAATCTTTCACTTTCCTTTATTTTTCTTTACTTCATTATTTGCAATCAATTTTAATTACTTGCCTTTTTACTTTTCTCCTTTAGTTCTTCAAACTTCCTGTCCACAATTAATCTAAATCATATTGTCAGGATACTTGATAAATGTTTTAATTTGAATGATTCAAATTATATAGCCTATTGTATATATATATATTTATTTATTTTGATTTGAATAGGTTTTAATCAATATATAAAATTTTGAACAAAGTTTTAATATAAGAGGTATTTTTGTTGCTAATTTTTGTAAGTACTCACATGTGACACCACTAATCACCTATGTAATTATAATCATTATCAATCAATTTTTGTTGTCAATTACCATCATCAATTATTTCTGTTATTATCATTGTTACTGGAAAGTCATCCTAATTGTTCGTTATCATATATATCACCTTTTTGGCTCTGTCATTATATTGTATCTCGTCGCCATTTTCGCCATCACTCAACAACTATCACCATTATGGTCAATCTATAGTTCCATTGTTATAACTAGTACCACTCGACTCCCCACCACACATGCTTCATTCGCTATCACCATTATTACATGCATCCCC